CCGGGGGTGTGTGTGATTTCTCACTTTCTGTCTCTCTGTCTCTCTATGTCTGTCTGGCGAGCACATGTGCCATATAGCAAAAAACAAACAAACAAACAAACAAACAAAAAACACAAAACAAAACAAAACAAAACAAAAAACTCTCAAAAGAAAGAAAAAAAGAGTGCTTAGAAGTAGAAGAGGGAGCAGTGGAAGAGAGTTAGAGAAAAAGATGTGATTGAGCTGGCCCTGTACCTAGTGGTTAAGAAAGCCAGATCTTACATGTCTAATTGAGGTTTGAATTCCAGCCCTGGCAGCTTGAAAAACATGTCAGCTGCATGTACATGTGTGCTCCAAATCCTGATAGGAAGAAGAAATAGAGAAGATATTGTGGTGTGACCACACCCTATGAGGAAGGTGCTCTTTCTCTGGTGACTACATGTATGCTCTGGCAATTAAAAAACAAAAAAATACAAAAATAAAGAGATGTGACTATGGAAGACTGGTCAGAGAGATGACTGTCAGCTTTGAAGATGGAAGAGAGTCACAAATCGAATCAAAGAACAAGACCAGCTTCTAGAAACTGGAAAGGGCAAGGAAATGGATTCATTCCTAGAGCCTCCAAAACAGGAACACCTGCCAACACCTTCATTTTAACTTAGTGACACCCATTTCAGACTTACAACCTATGGTACTGTAAGAAAATTAAATGTGATTTTTTAAAAAGTTCATTTCTTTCCTTTTTTTCCCCACAAGAGTGAAAGAAAGAGACAAAAGCAACCTCAACAAGGACTCATGCACACACCCAATGTGCACAGGTCAATCGGAAACCAAACCATTGATCTTCCATAAGAATTCAGCTTCACTTAACAGCACATTAATACTGCTCCACCAAGCTGGCCCAAATTAGTGTTTAATTTTGTTTTGTTTTGTTTTTCTGTTGTTTTATTGCCAGAAGGCATGTCTGCTCACCAGTGAGAGACGGAAAGAGAGAGAGGGAGAATGCATCTTCCAATGTGGCATGATCACAACATGGTCCTTTCTCTTCCATTTTTGCTCCTCCATTTCTCCATCCTATTGGAATCTGGGGAAAACATGCACACTTGCCTAGAGTATTTTTCAAATTACCAGGGCTGGGATTCAAACCATGTGTAGAATCCAGCTTCCTTACACTAGGCTACAGGGCTGGCCTCAAATCTATATTGTTTTAATCCTCTAAGTTTGTGGTATTTTTTTTTTTTTTTAATTTGTAGAGAGTATATGTACTCACCAGAGAGAAAGAGAGCAAGAGAGAGAATATGGGAAAGTACACCCCATGGTGGATGGTCACACCATAATCTCTTTTCCTCCATCTCTCCCTCCTGTTGGGATTTTGGGCATGTACACACATTTGTACCTGGTGTGTTTTTCAAGCCAGTGGATCTGGGACTTGAACCATGTTGTTGGCCACGTGGGAAGCAATTCTTTTAACTGTCAGCTCACAGCCTGGCCCTGTGGTAATTTTTTGTAGCAAATAGCAAAGAAAAATTAAATATAGATTATATAAATAGATAAATATGTCAGGGGCCCCTTAAAAGATGCAGGCAAGTGTAGGCATTTGAAAAATTGTTTTTACATTTTTTCCTTCAGTTGAACTCACAAACATTTTCAATCTTGCTTTTTTTTTAAGAATTATTTATTTTGAGAAGAAGGTACCACATGGCTCCAGTGAACTAGGTATTTCAAGGAATGAAGATTTTCTACTGATAATTCAGCCTCCAGCAAACGAGCTAGCGGCAGAAGAGGCCAGGCCTTCAGAAGAAGGTTCCACATGGCTCCAGTGAACTAGGTATTTCAGGGAATGAAGATTTTCTACTGATAATTCAGCCTCCAGCAAACAAGGCGATCACAACAGAATGGCAAAGAGATTCTAGATCACCTCTGTCTGCTTGCTCCTGAACATTCAGACTGAACTTCAAGAATTTGAAAGAAACACACCATCCATCAGATGACAAGAAATCACCGCCGGATAACAAGAAATATGGGAAAACAAGAAAATACCTCTCCTCCAAGGGAAAAAAGTAACTCTTCTTCATCCACAGACAGTTCAACGGAAATCATGGAAATGTCTGATAAGGAACTTAGAGCATTCATAATGTCGAAGCTAACAGAGATGGAAGAGAAGAGAGATAATGAACTGCTAAAGAGAAAGGAGAAAGAAGTTGACGAGTTCCAGGAGATGAGGAAATTCTTGCAAGATCTAAAAGAGGAATTACACGCTTTACAAAAGACTCAAACGGAACTGCTAGAGATGAAGATTTTGACAAGAAGTCAAAATCTCCCTTGAAAGTATTAAAAGCAGACTAGATCATTCAGAAAATAGAATCTCAGAT